GGTTATTAATACAACACCTCAGTTTGACACCAGTATTGCACTGATCGTGTGATAGCAGGTGTGCTTGATACTATCAATCTGTGCACTTTTGAAATAGCATATAGCATGCAGTTTACTGGAATGTATTATTTATGATTGTGTGTGATGTGACTTCAATATTAAAGTTATACATTTATGTCCTGATTTTCAGAAGACATAATGTTCATTCACATCAATCTTTTACAATCCTTCCCAAATTTGCTTCTGTGCAAAAGTATTTTGAATAATTCTACTTAGCTGTGGGTGGTGAACATTTCTTTCTTTCCTTATCCCTCCCCCACCAAGTGTAGTATCACATCAAAAGCAAAAACTAAAAACTGCAGCCACTGTGATTTGTGATGGTGGTTGGTTTATAGCTGTAGAAAACAGTATTTTAGAAGTGGAAGTTAATTATCACAAGTAAGGTTTTTATTTGCTTCAAACAACATCTCTTTAAGAACTCTTTGACCTGACTCTTTTTTCCTATTTTCCTTTTACATCTTCTACTTGTTCTGTTACTCGTATGTGCACTCTTGTTCATGTCATGGTCATGATCAGACTATAATAATAAAAGATCAGAATCATAGAATTGTACAGCACAGAAGGAGGCCATTCGGCCCATTGTGTCTGTGCTGGCACTTTGAAAAGAGCTATTCAAATCAATCCCACTCCCCTGCTCTCTCCCCATAGCCCTGCAAACTTGTCCTCCCCAAATAATTATCTACTTCTCTTAAAGGTTGTTATCAATTCGGCTTTCACCACCCTTTCAGGCATTGCATTCCAGATCCGAACAACTCGTTATGTGGAACAATTTCTCCTCTCCTCTTTCTTTAACAACTATTTTAAATCGGTGTTCTCGGGTTTCCAACCCACCCGCCAGTGGAAATAGTTTCTCCTTGTTCACCTCATCGAATACCCTCATAATTTTGAAAACTTCTATTATGTCTCCTCTTAACCTTCTCTGCTCCAAGGAGAATAATCCTTGCTTCCCTAGTTTCTCCTTTGCACCCTCTCCAATGCCTTGACATCCTTCCTAAAGTGTGGTGTCCAGAACTGAACACAATACTCTCGCTGAGGCCTAACCAGTGTTTTATAACGGTTCATCATAACTTCCTGACTTTTGTATTCTATGCCCTTGTTTATAAAGCATAGTATCCAGTATGCTTTTTTAACAGCTTTATCTACCGGTCCTGTCACCTTCAAAGATTTACTCATATGACCCCCAGGTCTCTCTGTCCCTTCACCCCTTTAAGATTGTACCATCAGCTTATACTGTCTCTCCTCATTCTTCCTCCCAAAATGCATCACTTCGCATTTCTCCACATTGAACATCATCTGCCACCTGTCTGCCCATTATACCAGTCTGTCCCCTTGCAGTCTGTTACTATTCCCCTCAGTGTTTACTACTTTTCCTATCTTAGTATCATCTGCAAATTTGGAACTTGTACTCCCTATACTCAAGTCCAGGTCAGTTATATAGATCAAAAATAGCAGTGGTCCCAACACTGACCCTGGGGGACACCACTGCACACTTCCCTCCAGTCAGAAAAACAACCGTTCACCACCACTCTCTGCTTTCTGTCTCCCAGACAGTTCTGTATCCGCTGCCACTGTCCCTTTAATACCATTTTGCTTACAAGTCTCTTATGTGGCACTTTATCAAACGCCTTTTGAAAATCCATGTAAACTACATCAACTGCACTAGCGTCATCCACTCTCTCCGTTACTTCATCAAAAAACTCTATCAGGTTTGTTAGATACGATTTGCCTTTAACAAATCCGTGTTGGCTGTCCTTTATTAACCCATATTTTTCTAAGTGAAAATTTATTTTGGCCCGGATTATAGACGAGAAAGTTCCCCGCTACCGATATTAGGCTGACTGGCCTGTAGTTCCCAGGTTTATCCTTCTGCCCCTTTTGGTACAGGGGAGTAACATTTGCCAAAATTGTGCATGGCATGAGTTTCTAAACCAATTTTGTGACGGATTACTAAGTTTAAGCCTCACAAATAATAATGAAATAAAAGTGGACATAGAATATTGTAAGGTCAGCTAGCAGTTGCACTCTAGTTTAAATTGAGATTTTCACGATGAACTCTTGCAAAAAGCTCAGTATAAACTGAGCATGTTCAATGTGATGCACTTCTAAATACGTACAGAGCTCACTGTACCTGGCATTAGTCTTAATGATGTAAAGGAAAGATGTTCAGTGCTCCTAATTACCTCCAGAATCTGTAATGTCCTGGCAGCACTCAAACAATCTTGCTCTGGTGGTTGCATGACCTATGGTGCGAAAGAGGCCAGCGAATGCTCACAGAGAGAACCAGAGCACAACATTCAGGGTCTTGATATCATGCCTGGGACTCCTGCATGACGTTAGATTTACAACGCCAGATTTATGGCAGACTCACCTTCTCCTTGAAACAACAATGCAATCAAATCTATCTTCAATAAGCACTCAGGGGGCTGGGACAAAGTGGCCTTTATATAAGGATGGCCTCTGAGTCGGGTTTGTTGGTGTGTGAATGTACACTGAAGGTGGTGTTCCAGGGTGGTGGTTAAAGGGATAGTTGCTGAATGGAGGTGAACAGGTTTGACTATGCTGTACAGAAAAGTTAGAAATTCCAGACTTTGTTTCATAAGTTTCCTTACTCCACACGCCTGATAATAATCCCTTAAGAAAAAGAACACTAATAAATTGGTTATTTCAATCCACGCCGCGTTTCGCCCACAAATATACAGTCAATTCACTTTACAGTCTAATCTGAAGCACTTTGAGACGTCTAGAAGACGTGAAAAGCTCGATATCTAATGCAAGGATTATTATTATTATATATTTAACAAGCTGCAAGAAGTAAAAGGAAAAAAAGCACACCTACCAAGGGTTGGCTTCAGCTGCCTTCTGAGCAGCTGCGTGGCATTGCTCCTGTTCTGAAGAGAACATTTTTTGGATCAACGTTTCACAAAAAATAATGTCATGAGTAGTATTAGTATCTGAGCTAATGTTGCTCTGAACACAAGTGCCTTACTGTATGTAATGAGTGGACCCAATATATTCTAATTATACAATTTGACTTTCACGTTTTTTTACACAAAAAAGTTTTCATGAGATTTCATTAGTTTTTCAACCTCAGTTTGTGTTGAGGGTGTTTTTTCATAACACAATTCTAAAAAAAAAAGCAGCACATTTTCAAGTCCTGAAGTTTGCAGGGCTTTCCCTTTCCCCATGTTTCACTATTAAGATTACATCGGCCAATTTTCATATTGCTGTATTAGTCTGTCAGTGGTAGTCGTCAAGTACCATTGTTTTTGAGGTACATCTCATTTAATTATAACTTGCTTTGTATTATTTCAATACACTTAAGGCACAGAGGCTTCCATTGAAAGATAAGGTCTTCATTGTAGTGTAGTTATAGAATAACTTATTGTTCAGGGAGAAGGTAAGAGTTGAGGAAAGCATTTTGAGAATAAAGTATTTCCCACAACCTCCACTTTAGTTAAGCAAAATGAAGTGGTGTTTCGTCTACGCCTTGTGGGAATCTGTGATTTGTAATGTTACTCCAGCTGCCTAGAGACTTGTTGTTTCAGAGACTGAGAAACTAAACTCTGTCTGGTACTGTCTTGCACTCAGATTGTGTGGAATGTTTCATTAGGCCATCTTCTCTCCAGGAATGGAAATGATGGCCTGCGTTGATGATTTTTTTAAAAAAAAAGCCATTTGCTGATCGAGCCCATAACTGAGAGATTTTTAAGATGCTGTCTGGCAGTTGTAAGCTCCAAAATGGTCAGGGGCCTGGCTCAGTTGGTAGGAGACTCCTGCCTCTGAGTCAGAAAGCTGTGGGTTCATGACCCACATTGGGATTCTGCCTGTTCAGGTGAACATTAAAGATCTCGTGGCATTATTCCAAAAGAGATGGGAGTTTCTCCTGATGACCTTTTTTTGAAAATACTAAATTATAAGAAAAACTTTGTTTCCCACTCCTCCATCTCCGCTTAAACAGAGAAATTATCAATGATGAAATAACCACAAAAATATTTCAATTCGAGACTGCAGATGCTGCAAGAAAGAACAAAATTGCATTTGATAGCCACTTGTCATTTCTGATAAAACCTCTCAAAGGCTTCACAGATTATTACAACAACTTGCATTTATATAGCACCCTTCACATGGAGTGCAAGGGGGGGCAAGGCGGAGGGATTGAGGGAGAGAGTTTCAGAGTTTTGGGATGTAGTGACTGAAGGCACAGCCGCCAATGGTGGAGCGGAGGGGATGAGGGCCAAACAGGAGGCCGGAGCCCGCCAAGCGGAGGCAGCGGGTGGTGGAGTGGGGGGTAAGCAAAGGTGGAACTGGGGAGACCAGCGAGGAGGGTATTGGAATAGTCCAGCTGGGAAGTGACGAAGGTGTGGATGAGGGTTTTGGCTGCTTTGGTTGTGAGGTACGAACGGTGGCGGGCAATATTACTGGCAAGTGTAGTGACTATTTTTGTCAGCATGACATTATGCATATCTAAAAATGTCGGTCCCGAACTGTGAGCAGCAGTACATTTGAGTGTTGTGCCATGTAAAGAAAGTGGTGCCCTGTAGCTTATTGGTTAGAGCACTCGCCTGCAAGCGAGAGGATGTGGGTTTGATTCCCAGGCTGGGCGAAACGTCGGGCAGGTTTTATTACTTCACACACCTATCTCTAAGTAGGAATCTGGTTGTCAGTTGATTGGCAGATCGCTTTTCCAGGAGTAATAACCCGTTTTAAAAAATATACATAAAAATAAATAAATTTGATCACTCAATTCAGGCTGTTTGTGGGACACTGCTGAGTGCAGTTGGCTGCCACGTTTCACCCATACAGTATGCAGTCAATTCACTTTACAGTATATTCTGTGAAGTGCTTTGAGACGTCTCGAAAATGTGATAATGCGCTATATCAAATGCAAGTAGTATTTACATTTAACTGTTTATATATGAAATATAATGTGTTCTTTTTAGGTATTTGATAAGGATGTCAGGAGCTACGTCTATGTACTTGAAGGTAGCAGTCAGATAAATAAGATGCAGCTGCCAATGGACAGTAAGCAGACACGTAAGTAACGAAGCAATTTATGTGAACTGACCTGCTTGCTGTTGCTATCCTCCTCCACCGCTTGTCTTCCCACCTCAACCTTCAAGGCACTGTCCATGAGTGGTTTAGGTCGTACCTCTTCCACCGTCTTCACTATGTTTCCACGAATGGCTTCTCCTCCAGCCCCCGCACTGTCTCGTGCGGTGTCCTTCAGGGCTCTGTCCTCGGTCCCCTCCTCTTCACCCTCTATATGCTCCCCCTTGGTGACATCATCCGCAGACATGGGGTTAACTTCCACATGTATGCGGATAACACCCAACTCTACCTTTCCTCCTCTACCCTCAACTCCACGACCACCGATGTCCTGACAGCTGCCTGTCCGACATCGAGTCCTGGATCAGAGACAACTTTCTTGAGCTCAACGTGCGCAAAACTGAGGCCCTCCTGATTGGCTCACGTCAGCGCCTCCGTACCTCAGGCGCTGACACCATCAGCATCCAAGGCTGCACTCTCCACCTCTCAAAGCCAGTCAGGAACCTCTGTGTTCTGTTCTGAGCTGTCCCTTCTCCCTCATATCCACGCCACAACTGGCACTGCCTTCCATCACCTCCGGAATATCGCCAGACTACGGCACTACCTCACCCCTCACGCGGCTGAAACTCTGGTCCACGCCTTTATCACCTCAAGGCTGGACTATGGGAACTCTCTCCTCGCCGGCCTTCCCGGCACCTCCCTCCACAAGCTGCAGGTCATTCAGAACTCTGCAGCTCGTGTACTGTCCCGCACCAGGCTTCGGGACCACATCACTCCCACCCTCGCTCGCCTCCACTGGCTCCCCATCCCCCAGAGGATCGATTTCAAGATCCTCATCCTCACCTACAAGGGCATTCACGGCCTTGCCCCCTCCTACCTCTCTGACCTACTATCCCCCTACCTACCTGCCCGTACCCTCCGTTCCTCTGGCTCCGGTCTGCTCCACATCCCCCGCCCCAACCGCCCTACCATTGGTGGCCGGGCCTTCAGCCTCTCAGCCCCTAGGCTTCGGCACTCTATCCCCCAGTGCCTTCGCCTTGCTTCCTCCCTTTCCTCCTTCAAGGCCGGTCTCAAGACCTTTCTCTTTGACCGAGCCTTCGGCTCCCCTCTCGACTCTCTACCCCCTCCTCGCTCCCTCCCTTCCCTTCCCTCACCCTGACCATTTCCCCCCTGCTCGGGTCCTGACCCAACTGTACAGCACCTTGGGACGTCCTCCTGACGTGAAAGGCGCTCTATAAATGGAATCTTGTTGTTGTTGTTGTTGTATTTATAAAGTTTATAGAATAAGAGTCAAGATTAATGAGGGACAGTGAGGATTTCTGTATTTCATTCCTGACCATCTGTTGTTTTGTATAATATATAAAGTGCTTTCTGGTCTCTGTTCAGAAGATGTAGGCTGCCGTGCGTCAGGATGAGCTCTTGATATGAAGAACAAAGGCTGTATAATGTAATGGGCATGAAAGAACTGTAGGCTCTGACATCTGTGCCAATGTTGAACGGAATAATCATCTTGTTCTATGTATTAAAATACAAAAATACAGCAAAATAAAATGCATTTCATAAAAGGTTACATTTCTTCAATCTTTCCTATTTGACTTTTCCCAGATTGAAGTAAGCCATAAATTTTTGTTGTTAACAGATAGTAAGTACAAAACAATCCATGATATTACTTTTTTAAAAAGTTATCCATCTTCTACTTAAACAAAGCTACAATCCTAGCAACTGTTTGATGTTTCATGCCTGCCCTTTAATATCAAGCTGGTATGAAGGCTGTAATAGGTGCTGCTATTCTTGTGATATGCGTATGAAACAAGCATCAAAAGTCCTGTTCGTCTCTCCTCTCGTCCGCTCCGCATTCGATGGCGGTTCTTTCAGCCACTATGCCCCACAACTCTGGATCTCTCTCCCTCACTCCCCACTTTTAAGTCTCGCCTAAAAACCTTCCTTTTTGATTGTGCTTATGGTCACCTCCACCCTCCCTCTCCCCCTGGCTCAGGGTCAGACTCCACCACTGTCAAGCACTCTGGGAAGCTACCCCACGTGAAGGTCGCTACATAAATGCAAGTTGTTGTTGTTCAGAATTCAGACAATGTTTTCAAAGTAGAGAAAAAGTTAGCCTATTAGGGAGATTGAATAGGGAGAAACATGGAGATGTATTCTAGAATTAATTATAATAAAATGAATATGGGGAATTGAATTGTTCATAATAACAGGGAAAGTACCATATCCTTTTACTTATTCAGCCAAACAAGTTTTAGAATAAAATCTGAGTATAATTTAAGATATCTTCATATTAACATTTTGGTTTTTATCTAATAAAACATTTATATCCATTCAGTTTTGTCCCACTTTATGATTTTCAGTGATAGCACAGCTCTCCAATGCTATTCATAAATACAAATATTTTCTAAATTAAAATTTTAATTTTTAAATACTGCATTAGTATATAAATATTAAATGTTTAATATAAACACATTAATTTATAAAATAAATTTTAAAAAATGAGTATTATTACTTTAATTATTTTTCTATTTTGAATTTTGATATTTTTTTAAAAAATCTACATATGATGGCCTCTAATTTCTTTTAGTTTCACTTTTACCCTTTAACTCACTGTTCTGACTATGTCCATCTCTGCTGAAATCAAGCAACTCAGCACAGGCTTGAGATTGAAGCGGGGATCTTTCCTTTCTGCATAGCTCAGCAAGATGAAATCCCTGACTCACACAGCCCAACAATCCAGCTTTTTTAAAAAAAAGTTACTTTTTGAAAAAAGCATTTCTGTTCCTAGAGTGTTGGAAGGGGAGAGGAACTTTTATGAAACACCACTAACTGCATCAGAAAACTATTTACTTAATTAGTGTAGCAATCAGATGAAGCATTTATGAAGAAGTCCACAGAGTTCTGCAGTTAAAAGTACTGCTTAATAGCTTGTGGTCTTCTTTCTCTATTTCTGTCTGCCCGTAATGAAATACTTACTGGAAGGCATCTCTCACAAGCACTACCATTTAACCGACAAAAGGGTTGTCTGTGCAGCATACTCAAGAGATGGTGCAGCAAATGCACTAATCTCATGTCTAACTTGGATCGTTTTCCTGTCTGTTGAATCCACTCGGATTTACCAACCACAATGTGGATTATATAAGCCGAAATTCTGGGTAAGCCTTCATAGAGTATTAACGTCTGGCTGAGTGACTTCATGTAATGTACTGAACAACTGTGAACACTGTAGTGCCCTAAAATGGTGGGTTTCAAAGTTAGACTTATTGTTTTTAGTTCTTTTTTTCAACACGATCTAGGCAGGTCTTGATGGACCATTTGAGTGAACTAGCAGTGAGAATGTGTAATAAAGCACATTAGCACTTATTACTTTAGGTTTGAACCTTTTTGTGCTCTGGTTTATTGCAGAATGCTTCAGTTGGCCAAAAGGGTGGTATCAACGCTGGTGTTTTTATTTTTTTGCTGTCTTGTATTGGGCTCAATCCCAATATATCGATCGATCACTCAATCATCTATAGATCAAATTCCACTCCAATTTTTTATTTGCAAATAATATCTGTAAAATAAAATCTATATTTTTATTCCAGAAGCTCATTACTGTTTTCAGCAACCACTCAGGGCTCGTCCAAAGTGACCTTTGTGTAAGGATGGTCTCTGTGTAAAGGTTTGTTGGTTGGTTAAAGGTACATTTCAATTCACTTAGAACTGGCCGCTGAAAGTGTGACTACAGCAACAGGGCTAAAAAAAAAATCCCCATTTGTGTTAGACAGGTGTTTGCAGAATAGTGGTGGTTGCTTTAACAACTTTGACTGTATTTTCTTCAGATTCACAGTGCAGCATCATATGGCATCATAGGCCAGCATGGTTTGTGTTTAGATGGAGGAATTGATTTTCAATGACATTCTCAGAACTAAATACATTTGGGCAGAAATGCAAGAATCTTTATTTGGCTTGGAAGAAAAGTGACAATTTGAGGTCATATTGTAAATGGTTGACTGGTAATGCAAGGTGGTTGGACCTGTGTGTTTTTAGTTTTGGGGATGACTTAATTTATTTTGGAAGATGAAGTAACAGAGTGGAAGCTTTAGGTAATGTTTTAGAGGCAGAGAGTACCAAAGATAAAAAGTAATGAAAACAAATATGTTCTGGAACAAGAGAGAGAGTCCAATGGAAAACATAGATGGAAGATAATTTAGTGTAATTGAGAATAAGAAACAAAGAAACGGAATTATGTTAAGGGCGGAATTGTTTTCTACTAGCTCTACTAGCTCTACTGGCAAGAGAATACACCCCCCCACTCCCACCAATACTGAGAAACCAAGAAAGTTGTAGTTAGTGAAGAATGATATGATATTTGTGCATTGATCGAGCAATAATTTTGGTACCCAGGAATAATTCAAGTTTGTTTTTATTTTGTATTGGATTTTAAAAATGTAATTGTTGCTATTCAAAACTGTAGCAATAATTGTCTTGCAAAGCCAAAATAAGTTAAATAATGCATTATACACAACATAGTGAAAAAAATTTGCTTCTTTCAATATTTTTCAAGCACTTCAAGCTTTCTATCTGCCAGTTTCAGAAATTTCCTGTGACAACTTGTGCCAGCAGCTGCTAGATGCCAAGTCAGGAAAGTGGGGAGCCAAAATAGGCAGATGTCGGAGCACCAAATTTCTGAACCGATCACACTCATAATAGTTAAATGTGATCATAGTTACTCTATTTTTTTCTGTGTTTGTGTGTTCTTACATGAGGTGTTTAACAAAATATAACACAACTATTGAAAAAAATTGAAAAAAAGAGTAATGCATAAAGTCTGTGTTTATGTGTTTAGATGTTTACTTGCTTTTCTGATACTAAAGCACTGAGTGATACTCTCTCCAGCACCTTGGGACGTCCTCTCGACATGAAAGGCTTTTTGCAAATGTAATTTTGTTGTTGTTGTTACAAAGTATCCCATGAAATTATTAACAAATACAGAAAAAATCATC